AAAAAAAAAAAAAAAAAAAAAAAAAAAAAAAATCCAACAGAATGGCCTTTCCCTCCCCTGAAAATATGAAAATGTCACAGGGGGAGTGGGTAAATCGCCGCTGGCAATTTTTTCAGGGGTCAGGAGTGATACGAAAATGCAGACAGGGTAGACAGGAAGGGGTGTTACCCCCGGTAGGGGGAAGCAGACGCACCACGCCTTCGTCCCTGAAATTTCATCCCCTAAATGATTAAAACCTAATATAGGGGCACGCCTACTCGGAGACATGCGAATGGAAGCTCCAGGGAAAGCGTTCGAGCCGATGTGAAAATGAAAAAATAAAATAAAATTCTCCACCCGATTATTTTCTCGCTGCGGATGATTTATTTAATGGATTAAATTGGAGAAATTAACTGGTTGGATGGGAGATAAACCGTATCATAATATTTGTGGAAAGATACTTTTGCGTTTTTGTGGTCGCGAGTGTAAAAGCTGATTACGGACTAGGAAATCGTAAAGATTTTCAAAAAGTGTTTGATGAAAAAATTATTCGCCACAAAATCGACAAATAATTGTCTTAATATTTCTTCCTAGTATTATTAGCCATTTTATTAATAACAACATTAATAACATTGTAAATTACTGAATAAAGTTTATAGACGCTGAATTATTTTCAATAAATTACGATATAAACATAATTTTCGGTCGTTACATATTTTTTCGAATTCCTCGAGTGATAAAATATATTCTTGGGATTGTTTGAATATATTTGTTTAATACTCTTTACAGATCTGAAATTTCCTTCCCCACGTGAAAATGAAAAAAACTCTCGTCCTGATGATTTTCTCGCAGCGAATGATTTACGTAATGTACGAAATTGGCGAAATTAACCGGACGAATGGGAGATAAATCGTATCATAATATTTGAGGAAGGATTCGTTATGGTTTTTTCGGGGAGTTAAAGTGCAGGGGTTGGGGCAGCATCCGTGAGACGCGTGGCAAAGGGGATTACGAAGGCCAAGGATGAGAGTAAAAGGAACCAAAGGGGTTTCGTGAATTCGATATCCCTATGGGCTCTGACCCTCGTATTCTCTCCAATGCGAATGCAAAATCAACGGGTTATTGTTCTGCATTCGAGGTAGAAGTGCATTACGCATAAACCTGAGGGTTTTTTTTTTTGTGGGGGGGGGGGGGACCGGTTTATTATCGATGATGCTTGTACACTTTTAGCTGGACTTGAGGGACACGCCTATGTGCTATGTGACGCGGAATAAACGGCGCTTCGGGCCGGTTGTTGCGGATGGCTGAGGTATGGGTGACTTTACCCTGTAATCAAGTGTAATATGGGTAGTAATGGATGATTACGTTGTTGGAGTGCATGCTTCATTTCGAGATATCGCAGAGAGGGGGCGGTGGGTTTAGGGGTGGACGGGGAGGGAAATGGAGGGATGAATTGGAGGAAACTCGTGAATTTCGGTGTGGTTATGAGGACCAGGAGGGCTTCGCCGGGAAAATATTCGAGAGGGTGTTTTCGCGTTCGAAATGACGCGTGGTTATGGCAATCGAAAATTTTTGCTTGCAAAATTTCTGGTTCTTCAAGTGTACCCAAAACTCTTTTTTTCTCATTCTCAAACTTCAAAATGAGAACAGATTATTTCGCTTTATTCCCCTCTCCTCTGTATTCCTGAATTTGATATATGATTTACATACAAAAATGGACGATGTTTATGTATTTCGAATGTCGTAAATTCTAACAATTTCCAAGAAAAAAAAATTCCAATAAGCATTCAATCAATCAGAAAATCATTCATCATCGTTTCCAATGAATAGTAATGGATTAATCTTGTACCTAATTCCATCAAATATTCCACGATCCAAACTAATTAATTAATTAATAATGAAGCGCGTAACATTTAATATTGACAACAAATGGGTAGCAATGGACGATTATGTTGTAGGAGTAAACACTTGATTTTGAGGTATTTTATACTGCGATTGGAGAATTCAGGGGCGGGCTAGACGGGAAAATAGGGGGAATGCATGAGAGTAAACTGTTGAGTTTAGGGGGAATTTCCGCGCGTTTATGAGGTTCCTGGGAAAACAATAGTTCGGAAGTAGTTTTCTCGTTAGAAATGTTTCAGATTAATGTCAATAATAAAGAAGGGGGAGTTATTCAGTTGCTCTGCATTATTTCAGATTATCGAACATTCTTTTTGGGAAAATTCTTGGATATTAATGGAATATCGACCTTCATAGACTCCATTCATCCGTCAAGGCTGATTAGAAATTCATGTATTGAGTAGTTTCTGAAATATCCCCTTTGTTCGAAAATCAATGTTTGATGTTAACACAGGGGATAATTGATGAATTAGCTACATTCCATTAACGACTGGAGTTTCGATATTGAAGATGATCCAATTCCCAGTTTACCTTTGAGTTACTCGTAAATGTGAACCACTTCAGGAGAGGAAGGGGTGTTCGATGGATTAATTTCAATCGTCAATAACTCAAAATTAAAAAAGTTAAATCAACAGCTTTCATTTTAACGATTTGGAAAGCTCATGCTTGAACAATTTATTTCAATTTCACAAATTATTCAATTTTTCTTCCTTCCACATATCCAGTGCGAGTGATGATATCTTTGAAATTACAAAGAATAAGCTGCACTATTTGGAACACGAGAGAAGCATTAAGGGAAAAAATTATATCCCTCTGTAAGCAAAGTGGCATTCATAAGAAACAACCACGAATGCGCAATTACCCACTTATTTAGAAATTAGATGCAAATGGCCAAGGGTGTTTGAAAAACCTAGCAAATTCGCTAGGAAATTCTGTCGAGATATTTTTTACCAAAATTCCTCAGCTCAAATTCTTCACGTTTTTNAAAAAAAAAAAAAAAAAAAAAAAAAAAAAAAAAAAAAAAAAAAAAAAAAAAAAAAAAAAAAAAAAAAAAAAAAAAAAAAAAAAAAAAAAAAAAAAAAAAAAAAAAAAAAAAAAAAAAAAAAAAAAAAAAAAAAAAAAAAAAAAAAAAAAAAAAAAAAAAAAAAAAAAAAAAAAAAAAAAAAAAAAAAAAAAAAAAAAAAAAAAAAAAAAAAAAAAAAAAAAAAAAAAAAAAAAAAAAAAAAAAAAAAAAAAAAATTTTAAAAAAAAAAAAAAAAAAAAAAAAAAAAAAAAAGAGTGGACAACACTCAGAAATTTTACGTAAAGCAGTTCCTACAGAAAATGTCTTAAAAGAAAAGACTATATAAAAATAAAATTCTCCACTTTCTTCTAAAAAATGCGCAGTGAACCGGAATTCTTCAACAGAATGGATAAATTTTTCTGCAAAATATTGTCGTGCGCCCATCCAGAACATTCTCATAAAAAAGAATAAAAATAAATTAAACTCACCATCCAAATATAGATGTCCGGTAGCATTATACAACTCTTGCACCATGGGGTTAATATGCTCAAAAGTTATTGTCTTGAGTGCATTGCTCCTGAGATCGAGAAAATTAAGCGATGGCGTTCCAGATAAAATGTCCGTCCCCAGTCTAACGAGTTTATTATCACTCAGACTCAATTTTCGGAGATTCCTCAGCCCCTCGAGTGCTCCATTTGCCATGAATTCAATCTTATTCTGATCTAATTCAAGCACTTGAAGCTCTGCAACTTCCACGAATGTCTTATCACCGATCATCTCTATGGCATTGCCCTTGAGATCAAGATGCTTAAGATTCTTCAAGCCCGCAAACGTCTCACTTGTTATTACGGATATTTTGTTTGCACTCAATTCGAGAACTTCTAGTGTTGTTAAATGCTTTAGTGCCTTGTCGTGAATCAGTGTCAAGTTGTTGTTGTTTATTGTGAGCTTCCTCAAGGATGGGAGATTCACAAAAACGTCTCTGAAAGGGTTATTCAATTATTAATGGTGAATGGGGAAAATGTATTTTTAGATTTCAATTGAAATTCAATCTAGTCAGGAGAACCAGCGGAGAGGCGAGTGGATTGGAAATGGATGAATGCAAGATAAACAGTCGGAAGAAAATTAAAATCGTTACCCCTCATACTTGAATATTGATGTCTCTTGTGAAAAGATTTGAATATTTATTTCTTTTTGGTCATTTACGGTTAAAACTTGTGATTTTATTAAATAAATTGTGAGACCGTTTTATGAATTAAAAAATTGCTAATTGGTTTATTTTCGTGATTGGTTGTCTTTTGAAATGATAGGAAAATGTATTTTTAAAAGAGAAACGAAAGTATTGAAGCAAACGAGTATGAAAAAATTCTATTTATTTTGTTAAGAAATATTTGATAGAATAATGTCGATAAATTTTTCAATTTGACACAATTTTTGCTAGAATTAACGCGAGAAAAAATTGAATTTCCTAATAAAACTAAAAAAAAAATAGAATAAGCGTTAAGATATTCTATTGAATGTTTTCGTACGTGAAATGTTTACGAATCCAACGAGATGTGAGAAATCTCGTTCTGTTGAGTCACGTGTCACCACTTCACAACAGAATTGATTGAAGATAATTTCAGTTATGTAAGAGTGAAGTTAATAATTTAATACAGCCGCCTGCAGTCGTTCTACAGTATCAACAGAACTGTCTCCACATTTGAGTCAGACTATCGGGACTAGTCGACTGTTAATTGAGTACTGAAGTGGTAGAACAGAGCAGCTATTTTCCTTCAACACTACTTTTCTCATAAATCAAGCAAAGTTTTGGCCCAAAAAATTTAGTTATTTCTTTTGGTTTCCAAGATATCTTCCACAAACAGACGTGCAATGGTTTTCCTCTGACTTTCGAGGGCAATTGGGGGGACAACTATGCGCATTGTGCTCCGATCATCCGTAAAATTTTCACCCAGTTCCTCCTCAAACAAGCTTCAAACTTCGATACAATGGATTCAACGATGAAAATAATATGAAACCCACGGAAAAATCCATTCCCAACTAATAAGCAATTTCCTTTGTAAAAGTTTTTACTTGTCTCACGAGAAATTTCATTTGTGAGGACTGATGTTCTCTTTCATGAGTGGACTTTTGTTGTGATATCAGAGAAGAACTTGTTCATACCAAACGAGTTTGTTTGGCCCCAGAGTTTAAAGGGAGAACTTGTGTGGAAATTATGGAAACTTGTTTGTTTCGTTTATATTAGCCCAGAGAAATGATTCATTTGTAATTAATGAATTATTTGTTTCTTGCGATTGAAACTTTTTCATTAAAATAAATTTACGAATTTAATTTTCATGAAAAAATATTTGTGAAACGACGTGCAAACGTAGAATTCTGATTTTTCTATTCAATTTTTTCATACTTGTTTCGATCTGGCAAAAAAATTGATTTGAAAGAGGAAACTGTTTTTTAAAGTCAAATAAAATCAATAAAAATTTAAAGTTGTAGGATTTTCTAATTGTTAAAGAATGTCAATTCAGTCAATTTTTCCTTTCTCCCAGCGTAATTCTCAAGAATAATAATTATTCTTTCTCCCAAGAATAATAATTCGAACTAAAATAAAAAAACAAAAATTACCTATTAATCTCGTGAATACGATTGTCATCCAGAAAAATAGCTGCAAGCTTAGTCATATTTCCAAAGGCATATTTCCTCAAATGAACAATTGAGCACCGCCTGGCATGTATCTCAGTGAGGCTCTGAATATCACTGAACGACTTTTCAACAAGCTCCTCAATAGTCGCATCTTTAAGTTCAATGCGGGTTAAATTCTTGAGTACCCTGAGTGTCTTCGTGGGTACGTAACTCATATCACTACCAGCGCGCACAACGAGCTCAAGATTCTGCAGTCTTGGTTGAGACTTGGCAATGATATTCCAAATAGGATCATCGACATTTAGTGCTGCCAGTACGACACATTTGCTCTCTGTCGCACGGTACAAGTCAATTGTATCGCAGTGACAAAACATTGGCGCTCCTTCGTAGTTCAGATCACAGATGTTTGCCTCGGTTGCATTATTCTTCACTGAACGACCTCTAGATCCTAGTGATGATGCTACTGAGGCAGCTTGCAGTGACGCTTGACTGGACGGCTGCACCAGTAGCCAATACATCAATAGTTGGAGGGCAACAGTCGTTAACTTTTTCATTTTTATTCTCTTTTCACGTCACGGCTGGAACAGTTATATATCATAAAGATTATTGACGGCATTTTTACCTTTTTGGGGACATTATTGTAATCTATTGTCTCATCAAATTTATTCGTGGTAAAATTGATTGACAGTTCTCTTGCGAATGGATACAATGTTTATACTTTTTTATTTTATTGTAATACGAATTGAAATTGTTTTTTTATGGTTCTTCAAGTGATAAAATTTTTTTTTTATTTTGTGTACTTCGTGGTAGTAAAAAGGTGTGAAAAGTTGGATTGAGAAAAAAATGAATAGAATAGAATGGTTTTCTGTTTGGATTAAAAAAAATAAGTTTAGAAAATCAGACGAGATCGTCATAATTATGACATTTTAACTTTTATCCTTTTTTAATTCATTTTAACACACATTAAAATAATTTTTTTCATGATTCTTCAAATGATTTTTTTTTATTTTGTGTATTTCGTGTTTGTAAAAAAGTATGGAAGACTCTCAATTGCATGATTGGATTGAGTACAAAAATGGAATAAAATAAAATAGATTTCTTTTTGTAATTAAAAAAAATGGAATGGTTTATAGAATGGAATGAAATCGAAAAAATCCTCTCTTAAATTCCAAATTTAAAAAAAGCGAATGCCACAAGTACACTCCGCGAGTGATCCCCAAACCCCTAAAAATATAATTTTCCGCCAAAAAATGTCAAAAAACTGCAACTCTATAAATTCCATGGATCCATTAAGAAAAGAAAAACTAAAAAAACCAAAATATCTCTCCCCCGAGTTATTCTCACCCCAGGCGCCTTTTTTTTCGTAACGCATCTAAAAATACACGAGTCGAACAAAAAAGAAGGAGAACGAGCGCGACGAAGTTTTATAGAAAGAGGGTGCTTGCGGGGGAAGAGCAGACACAAAGACGCCTATGAGGACGATCAAGGCAATTGCTTTGGAAAGAACTGAAAGCCTGTAATACAGCGGTATGTAGACGGCAAACTGAAGTTGGGCTTTGAAAAATTATTCATCTGCCTGGAAAAACACTAGGATAAACTGGTAAACGTCTCCCTCGCGCGCTCATGTTCCGCAAGAGTTTAATATGCCCAACCGAGGGAATCAATGTCTTTGAATAATTAAAAGACACGAGTGGGTATGCGCTTCAGCTACTAGGGGCCATTTTACTTCCAACAACGATATCGAATAATACCCGGAGACGTGATGTCATCCTCGGATTATTCTTCTTACCCGTATGTGTGACTATCCCCGAGATTTTTGACCCCCAACGTCTATTCGTCATCCCCGCATTATCCGTATGACTGGAGATGCATTAGAATAAAAATAATTCATTGCCACTGGATGGGGTGCCCCGATGGGGACGTCGGGGCAAACTTACAAAATGGATATTTCGCTTTTCTGGGGACGCTCCCACGATGACACGAGACACGCTGAGATGATTTCTTTCTATTATATTTGAATTCAAAGGCTAATGTGATCTAGTTTTAGTGACTGGGACAATGAGCCGGATTGAGTGTGATAGAATGGCCTCAAGTGGAGAGGTTTTCTTGGCGGTGGAGGAGTCGCACTAGGTTTTTTGTTTGGTTGAGGATAGCCAAGCATCTTTCACCGTTTGGTGTCGTTCATAAAATTTCAAATTTCATTCATTAAATTAGTCAATTGAATTGGGTGAGAAAAATTTAGAAACATGAATTCAACTCCATTAAAATTAGTTCTTGCATAGAATTATTTTTTTTAGACATTCGTTGTTTTTAAATAAATAACTGATTCCGAACGAATGTTTTTTATAGTAGAAAATGGTTTAAAATTGCAGTTTTTTAATTATTTCATAAATCTTCCTGTGAAGTTAAACTTTCTATTTTTTTTCAGTTTTTAAAATTATATTCTAACGGTTCAGTATTGAGATTCAAATTCAAACCTGCACAGTTTAAATAATAAATTTATTTTAAATTTCACTAGAGAAAAAACTAGAGAAAAAAACGAAAAAATTTCACATTGATCTTCTTTTTGAGATTCTATCAGTTTCTGGCCGATTTTATTGAAGAATTCCGTTACTCTACAGCACTTTTTTACAAGAGTTCCTCAAAACAAATTTTCCGTTTTTTTTTACTCGATTTTTTTTTCCGTAGAAAAATCAAATAAAAAAAATTTGAAAATTTGTGCCGAGGAATTTCTATACAAAATATTTCAATAAAATATGTTGAATAGAAGAATTGAATTCCAGAGCCATGCAATATTCTGAACGGACTGGAATATTTAAAAGATTTTGATGTTCCCGGGGGAATTTTTTGTGAAGTGAATCCAAGTTACTCATTTAATATTGAAATGGAATACGGTTGGGGTGAACTGGTTGAATTTTTAAAGCATCTTTGGGAGTGAGAAAATGAATTCCTTCATTTTTCATGGCTTTTTGAATATTTAACAACCTCATCAGAATTTATTCAGCTACAGGTGTGATCATCTGTGTCAGAGAGGAACCAGTAATTAAAAAAAAAGTGAAAGCCGAATTGTTACAGGCACAGGATCCCCACTGTGCTAAATTCGTAGAGAATTAACTGAGTTGTACAGCAGTTCTCCCAAATTGATAGGTCCCGGGTGGCTCCAGGCCCAGGTTAATTATTTGTTTGAATTGAAGTTGGACGTGGCGGCTTGAGGCTATCAACTGCCTAGAGAATGTTTATGCGATGATTACCGGGTGAAACTCAATGAGGCTATCCTCATTCCTCACTCTCATCGATCCAAATATTTACAATATTCTGTTCTCACGGACGCACGAGTATAAACAGGAGGTATTGTACATAGTCGGTAGATTGGAGCCGTAACTCAGTCGCGAGGTGTTGAAATGCAATCACTCGAATTCCATGGCTTTATTAATTGCCCATTTACTCTGATAACGAGTGGTTCCAGGTAAAAATGTCGTAAGATCTTTTTTTTAGCTGAGAAAATTTCCCGCAAAAAATTTTTTCTCACATTTTTCGCTAAAATCCTCCTTCAACAAGATAATTCGACTTTTAATAAATTCTAGAAGATAAAGTCATGACAAATAAATTCGTTACATTCTATTTCGATTATTATAATTATTAAATAATTGAAATAAATTCTTTAGGCTTCAGGTAAGTCAATATGTGTGAAATTCAGTAATAAAAAAAATGAATAGAAATTGTGAAACATCCCTATTATGAAGTAGAATGGCATAAACTCTGTTGAAGATGAAAAAAAATCACAGAGATGTTCACTGATCTTGAGATCCTCAGCGTCATAAGCGAAAGAAAAACAAATCCTCATCATAAAATTCTCACCAGCTAAAACCCAAACATCGAGAACAATGCCCCGTTCACGCGATACCCTTCCAATATTTATTGCCCCCTCCCCAAGTGATGAAAACTCAAGCCAGAGCCGCTTCCTTTCATTTGATACCGAAAGCCATTGCTCGTCATCTCATCTCACCGACAAGGGCACAGCCTGGAGAGTCTGGAAACAAGTGAGGAGAAAAAAGAAGTCTAAAACCCAATAAACTGCTGAAGCGAGTGGCTCGTTTAACGCCTTAATTCACGAGTGAAATGAAAAAATGTCCCGCTATCCACGAAAAGGCGTAACAAGAGTCGTCTGTTTATGCGAACAGCCCCGTGGAGCACTTTTGGCCGAATATTCCGAGTCACTTTTTGTCATCCGTCTTTTTCTCATTCAACTGATGCCTGGTTATGGGATCAAACTGATGGGGTGGTGCCTCGTATTGAAAAAAATGCCCCATTGTTGCAACAACACAGCTGCTCAAGTGAGCATGTTAAGGCCGGGGTATATAAAACATGGCCCTTTTGGGCTCAAGACTACTTCAATGTACTCAAATGCCATTCAGTGACACCCCAAATTGTCTACTCGAATGTTTTTCCCTTTCATTATGTACTACATTGAATTACAATGTATTTCGTCTAATTCGATGTATTAGGGGGTAATGAGTGTTGTCGTTGTGTGGAGTTTATGATATATAAATTGTCGGGAATTGTTCGGCTCAGTGAATTATTTTTTGGACTCGAAATTGAAGAAATGATCGCCATTGTTGGTGAAATTTTATTCAATTGAAAACCCGAGTTGAAAACCCGAGTTTGTAGCAGCGATGTCAGACAAGATATGAATGTTTTTTTGAGCTCAAATGAAAGAGCGGGTCGAGAAATGGCGTGCTAGGACCTCTAAAGATGGTGTTGAACCAGGGGAGACTCCTAGAACCCACTGGAAAATGTTGTCACAATTGCGCTTTTCAATTGAAAACAGACATCATCTTTAGAGAGATTTGTCATCTTTAAAGACTTCTGCACGCCATTTCTCGACCCGCTCTTTCATTTGAGCTCAAAAAAACATTCATATCTTGTCTGACATCGCTGCTACAAACTCGGG